GACTCAGGCTCATATGCGAGAACAGCTCATAGGGTGGCTTCAAGACTAATATGAGCGAGCCACCCTGGGGTGGCTCGGCTTGGGCCGAGCCACCTTGAGGTGGCTCGGTTTCGGCCGAGCCCCTCCGGGTTTTGCGTCCGTCGTTCGGTTGTTTCGGTTCTTGTATCCGCTTCGTCCGTGATTCGGTTATGCGGTTGATTGGTCTGAAATCGATTCGTTGACTCGATTCCTGATTTGGCAATAAATCCGATTCTGAGCTTGATTCCAAAACTGATCGTGACTCGATCGCGATTCATCCGAGTTCGCCTGTGCGTTGCTCTGAAACCCGATTTATTCTGAATCCTGATTTGGAAGTCTGGATCCCGATTAGGCAGTAAATCGGCTTTGGTGTCTGAGTTCGAATCCGTTATATGGTTGAATGACTCGTTGACTCCCTGAACCGTTGGTTTGATTCCGCACGCGAGTGGATTCATTCCGTCGTTTGCGTGCGGTTCGTCAGCTTTGTAGCCTCGTTAATCCGCTCTGTCGCACATTGTTTGGCTTCGGTGTTGACGGGCTAACGATCGTGCTTAGATACGTCGCCCGATGGTTCATTAGTTCGTGTTGAGCCGTGTTATGGGACCTATAAGCAATTTTATATGCCTACAGAGTGGCGCTGGGGTGAAATCCTATAAATACGGGGTCACTGACGCATCAGCTTCATTAGTTGGTCTCGTGACTTGAGCATCCAACGACATTCGAAACCCTAGGGTTAACGCCGGTCAACGCGTAACCCTAGGTCAACGCAGTCAACACGTTGCAATGAAAAGTCAATGTCGGGCGATCCGAAACCCTAGGTTAACGCCGGTCAACATGTAACCCTAGGTCAACGCCAGTTAACGTGTTGCGATAAAAAGTCAATGTCGGACGATCCGAAACCCTAGGTTAACGTCTTTGAATCTTCATTGTGACGCGTTGTCCGGCGTTTAACACAGTTTATACTCGTAAGTATTTTGGAGTCTACACAGTTTAAGCTCTTAAGGAGTTGGAGCGGGGAGGTCTAGTTTATACTCATACACTCCTGGGAGTTATGTTAAGTTATCCTTAAGAATATTTTTTAGAAAAATATTCTCCAGAAACTTCTCAACAAAGAGGAGGGAATAGTTTATACTCGTATACCTTATTGGAGTATTAAGAAGCAGTTTATACTCGTATACTTTTCGGAGTATTAAGAAGCAGTTTACACTCGTATACTTTTCGGAGTATTCTTTAGGTTCGAATAACCTGAACCGGCCCAAAAATGTGCCAAAAAGGCAGTATTTGGGCTCAAAAATCTTTCCAACCCTTCCAAATATATGGGAGAAGGGTTAAATAGGTGAAGGACTGAACCGTAGGTTGATCAAAAGTCGTTTCAATGCTTAATTCAGCTCCAATTTGAATTCTGGTTCAAATTTGGTTCAAACTGGTTCAATTTGACTCAAACTGGCTCATTCTGGTTCAATCTGGCTCAATTTGGCTCATTCTGGTCCATTCTGGTCCAATCTGGCTTGGTCTGGTTTAGCCCGGTCTGGTCTGGTTCAGCCAGATCTGGTTCAAGGCTATAAGAGGGGTTTTTTTGTTTTTTCTTTTTCTTTTTCTTCCTCTCTTTCTAGGGCCGGCCACCCCCTCCCTCTCTTCTCTTGATTTCTCTTCCCTCGAGCATCCATTCTCTTTCAAACCTTGATATTTGTCTTAGATCTGGCTTTCCTTTGAATCTTGGACTGAGAAATCTCCCAAAAACTCCAAATAAAAAGTTTCTCTCAGGCCCCTCGAGCGTGTGGTTCAAGTTTCCTTAAAGGTCTCGCCTTTATTGGATTTTGGGCTTTTCTTCAGGTAAATCCTCCGCAATCTTGATCTATTTCATGTTTGATCTAGTGTATGGAGTCGCGGGATCGCATATAAGGGTTGAGGGTGTGATTTGATGCCTCAGGCTCGCCTTTTTAGGGGTGGAATTGCGATAAAAAAAATGGGATTTTTCCTTTTCTAGATCTGATTCTTCAATTTACCTTACAGGTCTCTATGTCCCGTATGGCGAGGGGTCAATCCTCTACCACGCCGAATGATGGCGCGCCTCCCTCTTACGCTGGTGAGCTACTTTTTCTGGAAATTTACAAATTGGTCCATTTTTTCTTGGAAATTTGCAAATTGGTCCTTTTTCTTTTTTTTTTTTACTCCCCGTTGTTCTCCTTAGTGAGGCAACCGGGAAAAGCCTTGATTCTCCCTGGTGAGGATTGACGCTTCAAAGATATGTTTTGCTTGGTCAAAACACTATCTCATAATAAATAAAGGGGGCGTTTTGTCGTTGCGTTGTGCCTTATAAGGCAGGGATATATTGTCGATATACCCTATCTTATGAAGGCGCAACGTGGCCAAAACGTCACACCCTTTATAAGGCAATGACTCTATCTTACCCCTTCGTAAGATGAGTTCAATTTCCTTTTATAACTGGAATTAACAAACGTTTAATTGCTTGTTCTCAGTTGAATACCCTTCTGGAGCGTTCTCATCTCACGCAGTATACGGGCGTCGTGGCGAGTATTGTTCGACCTCCGACGATGTTTCCCCTATCCCAGACACTCCTCAGTTCGTCTTGGGCACATCGACTGAGGTTGCCCAGGCGGTGAAGGAAGGTGGGCACCGAGCTCTTCGACAGTTGATTACCGATGCACCTCTTGTGAAGGACGCCTGTTCTATTCAGCCTCTTCGAAAGAGCGATTTCTTATTTGGTGACTCTGTCGAAGACCCGGATGCCGTGTTTATTGAGGCTGAGCAGTGGCTTCATAAAACTGGCAGTGGCTTCATATATTTACCGAAGATTCCTCGGCATCGTTCATTGACTGAGCTCAGGCGTCAGGCCGTGACACGGGAGATGTCGTGGCGCTTGACGGAGGAGCATGAGAGCGTCCATTGCGGCTACATCACTCATCAGGCGTTTCCTGGCTCGAGCAGAAGTCATATCACCGGATTGCGTCCCGGAGTACTGGGGCTGGATGCACCACCACGTAACGAGTTCCTCGCCACCGCTTCTACCTTGAGGAATCACCTTGCTGCTCTAGGACGGGAGATGCCTGCGATGCGTCACAGGATTTATGGTTGGGTCCATGCTTGTGGTTTATATGCAGCCGTTCGTGCCACCATGTATGGCTTGCCTGTCAGCGCAAGGCATTTCTGTGCTTTGTTCGAGCTTTATAATTCAGATTTGAACACTTTTCTGACCCGGCAAGGGGAGTTGGGTTTGGCTCTTCACGAGATGCACAAGATTTCTGGCTCACCCATGGGACAGATGTTGTATCAGGAATACTTTCCCTCCAACCATGAATTAAGTCCGCTGAAGGATCGTATGCCTGATCGCTACGAGACTCTATGGGATCTCACTTGCCACTATCATATAGCTTTGGCGCAGTCTGAGCCTTTAGCAAAGAGGACTAAGACATTCGTGAGTCTGAAGCAGTTTGCCAATTATTTGTTCAAGAATCTGGAGAGTAATTCTGGCGAGGCTATTTGTGAGTTGGCTCCACTTACTCCCTCAGGGGTGAACAATCTGCTGAAGAAGATTGGCTCTCATTCTTATACCACTAGCAGTTCTGAGGGTGGCTTTCCTGCAGGGACCAAGTTCAAATCATTCTTGTGGCATGCTACCGCACCGATTCGACCAATGACTCTTCTTGCCGGTTATCTCGCTATCTGGTTGAAGAAGTGCGTTGTTCCATATCAGTCTGGCGATGCCTTGCCCTTGGAAGTGCTCTATCCAGCAGTTCAGCTCGCCTACAAGAAAGAACTCTCACTTCTTCCAGTGATGGTGGCTGACATTCATCGAGGACTTTTACAGCTTTCTGGTGCCTTTACACGGAAGGAAAGTGATTTGCCGGGTCAGATTCCCACCATTAAGACGGAGCTCCCGTACACTTACTTGATGGCTTGGTTCGTCCTTCACCGTTCCGATATGATGTCGGTACCGAGCACCACAGATCATTCCGTTCCTTTACTACAGTTGCTTGAGAACGGCAAGTGGGAGGGGCGCGGATTTTCTGACATCAGACAGCAGCTGCAGGTCTACAAGTGTTGGACATTTTCCACTTGCTTTCCGCAGTTCTCCGGCCGATACGGTGATTGTTTGATAGATGAGGAGAGGCCGAGAGAGTATCGAACTCACTTGGACATCGGGTGCTTTAACTGGCTGGTAAACATTAGGCCAGGTTATTTGACTTTTCGGGTGAGGGATCAGTGCTTCATAGAGCCATATCTACCCTGCCGATTCGCTCGTCAGTTTGGCTACGATCAGCTTTACGTCGGGAATCCTCGTCAGCAGCTTCGGGCCCACGGCGGTTTGGTAGATGGTCTCCGTGCGTGGTTGTGGACCGTGACTGGCTGTACTGGTGCTAAATTCAGTCTCCCGAGTGCTGATCGGCAGTTGCACCTCACTTTCTTAAGCTGCAAGTGGTTGTTAGCAGCCAACAAGACTATCCCCGTGAAGCCGATTGCAGAGCTAAAGGCCGAGGAAGCTTCTCAGGTTGATTCCCGTAGGATTTGGGAAAACGCTCGATCACAGAGGACACGGAACAAGACTCGTCGGATTGATGAAGAGGGAAAGAAGACCTTTCATTCCGCAGACGAGGCTTCAGGGGGAGATCCTGAAGGTTATGAAGACTTTTCCGAGCGAGGTTTGCTATTCATCTTTTCCTTCCATCTTCCAGAAATATTGAAACTGACTATGGTTTGATGTTTCAGGGACCACAGTTGACCAGGATGAAGAGTTCCACCCCCCTTCCTAGGCGAGACCTTCGATTATTGTCCCTGCTGCTAGGCGGAAGAGATTAGCCCGCAAGCCGCGTGCAGCTTCCCGAGCATCTGATATGGACTTGGCTGGTGATGATCCTGCTAGTGACGGAGGTAACATCTACTCTGTAAACTACCTTCTTGGTTATTCGGAACATTGACTCATGCTTTTCCATCTCTATATAGAAGAGTGTGGAGAGAGCGAAATGAGTCCCGATTCCGTTCCTGTGTCTCCTGGTGAGCCTGACCCGCTGCCCCATTTAAAAAGGCCTACAGGGGTTGCCGACATTAGGAAGGATAGCAATGTAGGACCTGATTCCGTAGATCCAGGTACATCTACTATTGACAATGTATCTTTTAGATGGTATACAAAAGAATTTGTGCATCCTCTAATCATCTCTGTACATCTTGCTTCTTCAGATAACTTGCAGGAGGCATACGTGGATTTTGGGAATAAAGAGGCTAACGCATCCATAAGGGGTAACTCATTTTTGTTGGTTGTAGTCTCTTTATTCTTCTTTGGTACTTATATTCTTTTACGTCAGATTTCTCTATTGATGATTTTGACGAGGAAGGCTTGATCGCGGAGACTCCTACACTCCACTTCATGTATAGCTCTCCTCAATTTGATGGCCAGTTACCCGGAGATATATTTTCCGAGCCTACGTTCGATAAGAATCTTGAGGATGATTCTTTCGAAGGTATATGCCTCCTCCCAAATTAATTATAGGACTAGCCAATTTTGACTAATGCAGCTATAATGTGATGCCTCTGAGAATTCTGACTTGTATTTAACAGGAGTTTTTGTTGAGAATGACCCTGTTGAGCCGGCTATGGGACCAACTACACCAGTTAATACACCCCCAGCCGTTACACTTCCACCACCCCCAGTTACTCAAGAGGGTATGAATACTATTTATTTACTCTTCAAGGTCTTTTTCTGACAGTTTTATCTTTTTTTATCGTGCAGGGAATTCTTCTCGTCTTCATATTCTGGCGAGGGAGTTGTTATCTGATGATGATCCTGAGAAGATTGTCATCTGCATAGAAGTCCGCTCCTTCTTCTCTTTCATGAATGCTATGATTGGCAAGCTTTTCCATGGTGGACTTTCTCTTCGCCAATTCAAGCCTTTCCTTGATTCTAAAGTCAATTTGATAAGGGAAGCGGGACATCCAGATTTGGCACAGGCTATAGTTGATGACCTTCATTGCCTAGAGCATGAGCTTCAGATGTTTCGTGAGCTCCGAGATGCAGGTGCCTCCTCATTTATTGCTGCCGAGCTGGACGCCCGCTTACAGTCATCACGTGAGACTCAGATTTTTGCTGAGCTCGAGATTCAGATGCAGCGGGGCCGAGTAGATCGAGTTAAGACGAGCCTTGCTACTAGATTATCTTCGCTTGCCGAGCTTGATCTTTCTATTACCTCCTGTGCGACCGAGATAGACCAGCTCAGAAGAACACTCCGTGAAAAAGAGGAGAATTTGGATATTCTTCAGATGACGAAAGCACATGATCAGCAAACCCACACTGCTTTATCTGATGAGTTGAGATCCCTGGAGTAGAAGCTAGCCGAGACAGAAGAGATCGCTGCGAGGACTTCAGCCACCACCGAGGAGTCCATCAGAGCTG